CACAGGGAATCACTACTACAGGACTCTGTAGTACAGATCACAGGGAATCACTACTACAGGACTCTGTAGTACAGATCACAGGGAATCACTACTACAGGACTCTGTAGTACAGATCACAGGGAATCACTACTACAGGACTCTGTAGTACAGATCACAGGGAATCACTACTACAGGACTCTGCAGTACAGATCACAGGGAATCACTACTACAGGACTCTGCAGTACAGATCACAGGGAATCACTACTACAGGACTCTGCAGTACAGATCACAGGGAATCACTACTACAGGACTCTGCAGTGCAGATCACAGGGAATCACTACTACAGGACTATGCAGTGCAGATCACAGGGAATCACTACTACAGGACTCTGCAGTGCAGATCACAGGGAATCACTACTACAGGACTCTGTAGTGCAGATCACAGGGAATCACTACTACAGGACTCTGCAGTACAGATCACAGGGAATCACTACTACAGGACTCTGCAGTACAGATCACAGGGAATCACTACTACAGGACTCTGTAGTGCAGATCACAGGGAATCACTACTACAGGACTCTGCAGTACAGATCACAGGGAATCACTACTACAGGACTCTGCAGTGCAGATCACAGGGAATCACTACTACAGGACTCTGCAGTGCAGATCACAGGGAATCACTACTACAGGACTCTGTAGTGCAGATCACAGGGAATCACTACTACAGGACTCTGCAGTACAGATCACAGGGAATCACTACTACAGGACTCTGCAGTGCAGATCACAGGGAATCACTACTACAGGACTCTGTAGTACAGATCACAGGGAATCACTACTACAGGACTCTGTAGTACAGATCACAGGGAATCACTACTACAGGACTCTGTAGTACAGATCACAGGGAATCACTACTACAGGACTCTGCAGTACAGATCACAGGGAATCACTACTACAGGACTCTGCAGTGCAGATCACAGGGAATCACTACTACAGGACTCTGCAGTGCAGATCACAGGGAATCACTACTACAGGACTCTGCAGTGCAGATCACAGGGAATCACTACTACAGGACTCTGCAGTGCAGATCACAGGGAATCACTACTACAGGACTCTGCAGTACAGATCACAGGGAATCACTACTACAGGACTCTGCAGTACAGATCACAGGGAATCACTACTACAGGACTCTGCAGTACAGATCACAGGGAATCACTACTACAGGACTCTGCAGTGCAGATCACAGGGAATCACTACTACAGGACTCTGCAGTGCAGATCACAGGGAATCACTACTACAGGACTCTGCAGTGCAGATCACAGGGAATCACTACTACAGGACTCTGCAGTACAGATCACAGGGAATCACTACTACAGGACTCTGCAGTACAGATCACAGGGAATCACTACTACAGGACTCTGCAGTGCAGATCACAGGGAATCACTACTACAGGACTCTGCAGTGCAGATCACAGGGAATCACTACTACAGGACTCTGCAGTGCAGATCACAGGGAATCACTACTACAGGACTCTGCAGTACAGATCACAGGGAATCACTACTACAGGACTCTGCAGTGCAGATCACAGGGAATCACTACTACAGGACTCTGTAGTACAGATCACAGGGAATCACTACTACAGGACTCTGTAGTACAGATCACAGGGAATCACTACTACAGGACTCTGTAGTACAGATCACAGGGAATCACTACTACAGGACTCTGTAGTACAGATCACAGGGAATCACTACTACAGGACTCTGCAGTACAGATCACAGGGAATCACTACTACAGGACTCTGCAGTGCAGATCACAGGGAATCACTACTACAGGACTCTGCAGTGCAGATCACAGGGAATCACTACTACAGGACTCTGCAGTGCAGATCACAGGGAATCACTACTACAGGACTCTGCAGTGCAGATCACAGGGAATCACTACTACAGGACTCTGCAGTGCAGATCACAGGGAATCACTACTACAGGACTCTGCAGTGCAGATCACAGGGAATCACTACTACAGGACTCTGCAGTACAGATCACAGGGAATCACTACTACAGGACTCTGTAGTACAGATCACAGGGAATCACTACTACAGGACTCTGTAGTACAGATCACAGGGAATCACTACTACAGGACTCTGCAGTACAGATCACAGGGAATCACTACTACAGGACTCTGCAGTACAGATCACAGGGAATCACTACTACAGGACTCTGCAGTGCAGATCACAGGGAATCACTACTACAGGACTCTGCAGTGCAGATCACAGGGAATCACTACTACAGGACTCTGCAGTGCAGATCACAGGGAATCACTACTACAGGACTCTGCAGTACAGATCACAGGGAATCACTACTACAGGACTCTGCAGTACAGATCACAGGGAATCACTACTACAGGACTCTGCAGTGCAGATCACAGGGAATCACTACTACAGGACTCTGCAGTGCAGATCACAGGGAATCACTACTACAGGACTCTGCAGTGCAGATCACAGGGAATCACTACTACAGGACTCTGCAGTGCAGATCACAGGGAATCACTACTACAGGACTCTGCAGTACAGATCACAGGGAATCACTACTACAGGACTCTGCAGTACAGATCACAGGGAATCACTACTACAGGACTCTGCAGTGCAGATCACAGGGAATTACTACTACAGGACTCTGCAGTGCAGATCACAGGGAATCACTACTACAGGACTCTGCAGTACAGATCACAGGGAATCACTACTACAGGAGTCTGCAGTGCAGATCACAGGGAATCACTACTACAGGACTCTGCAGTACAGATCACAGGGAATCACTACTACAGGACTCTGCAGTGCAGATCACAGGGAATCACTACTACAGGACTCTGCAGTACAGATCACAGGGAATCACTACTACAGGACTCTGTAGTGCAGATCACAGGGAATCACTACTACAGGACTCTGCAGTACAGATCACAGGGAATCACTACTACAGGACTCTGTAGTGCAGATCACAGGGAATCACTACTACAGGACTCTGCAGTGCAGATCACAGGGAATCACTACTACAGGACTCTGCAGTACAGATCACAGGGAATCACTACTACAGGACTCTGCAGTACAGATCACAGGGAATCACTACTACAGGACTCTGTAGTGCAGATCACAGGGAATCACTACTACAGGACTCTGTAGTACAGATCACAGGGAATCACTACTACAGGACTCTGTAGTGCAGATCACAGGGAATCACTACTATAGGACTCTGCAGTACAGATCACAGGGAATCACTACTACAGGACTCTGCAGTGCAGATCACAGGGAATCACTACTACAGGACTCTGCAGTGCAGATCACAGGGAATCACTACTATAGGAGTTGGTGTACGGTGACAGACTACAATTATTAATACATACACAAACAAGCACACAATCACAGTTGCTCAAACAAAATACATCAAATCATGTAAACCTACATCTGAAGGGAAATGACATTCTTGGCAATCCACATGAGCGGGTGCTGCCTGGTTACCTGGGCGGCCATCATCAGCACCATCTGAGTTTGCAGAAGGGGAAAGATCTGTGATTCAGCATGATGCCTGCCGAGCGATGATCACACTGCAGTACACACGATGACTAGCCAGTGATAAGTACCCTGCAGTTTGAGAAGCTTGGGTAGCGCTCACTGAGATCTAGGTATCAATCCATTCACTATAGTTTGAAAAGCACATTCCTTAAGAAATCAGTTTTTGATTTCTAAACATAAAAAGAAAACAAAGGCACTTGGGGATGGCTTCACAGGGAAGGGCTCTTGTTATTGAAGCATGACAACTTTAGTTCAAATCCCAAGAATGCATGTAAAAGATAACTGAGGAACTATTTTATATGACAAAATATGTTAGAACATTAATTTCAAATAGGAATGCCATTTTAGAAATTCTGTGGTGATAAAATACTGGATGACTAGTAGGTAACAAACATCACTCTCCCCACCCCCACCCCCACCTGAGTTTCTGGCTGGAAGACAGGATGCTGCCTGGCATGGTTTAAAGTCAACACTTTGTTAACGGCACTGTGAAAAAGAAATCCAACACTGACGATGGCCATATTTAAGTCTTCTTTATAAACAAAAACCTTTTAACTATGTTTTCTTTCTTTCTTTTTTTTTTTTTTTTTTTTTTGGTTTTTTCGAGACAAGATTTCTCTGTGGCTTTGGAGGCTGTCCTGGAACTAACTCTTGTAGACCAGGCTGGCCTCGAACTCACAGAGATCCGCCCGCCTCTGCCTCCCGAGCGCTGGGATTAAAGGCGTGCGCCACCACCACCCAGCTTAACTGTGTTTTCTTGATGCAAACATACATTAATGTAAATCAGTATAAGACTATATAATTTTGAAAGGCTGGATAAATTGACATCCATAAGAACAGAAAATATAGAAACAATGTATTACTATCTTGTGTGTGTAGGATCCACATGTCTGTGTGCACACAGGCAGAAGCCAGAGAAAGATTTGTCTTTCTTGATCACTGCATGCCTTATTCCCAAGGACTCTCACTGAACCTACAGATAAGCTTGCCATCAGCAAGCCCCAGAGCCCTTCAGTCTCCGTCCCCCACAGGGCTAGGGTCCTAGATGTATGAGGAAACTCCAAGCTTTTAAGTGGGTATTGGAGATCTGAACTCAGATCTTCATTTTTTTTTTACAGCAAATACTCTCCTATCCAGTTAGTCATAGCCCCAGCCCCAATCAGAGTCTTCAAGTACTTTGCTATTTCCTCCTAAAACTGAAGCCTGAGGTATAACTTCTAAGTATATGACTTTCAAAGAATGATAGTGTATATCATTCAACTGGCTATATTTATCTAATGAATGAGTCGGAAGAGTTAATTTAACAATAGTTACAAAATTAGCTTTGTCACTTAACTATATTTTATGAACAAAATAAAACATTTTCACTCATGGATAGTTTTAATAGTCATCGACATTAAAAGAAGCACATTAACCTTAGTACTTTACAAGTTATGGCTGCAAAGCCAACCCTGCTGTCTTACCATCGAAGAAGCTCTTGGCCCTCAGGTAGCTGACACTGAGCCTAAGAACTGAGAGTTTGTCCAGCTTGTTAATAACATCTTGTGGGAAGGGCAGCAGACTAGCCAGGCGGTCCAACTCTGTGTTTAGCCTGTCTCTATGTCGCTTAGAAGGATTTGACTTGATTCCTTCAGCGGGGACTGGCTTCACTCTGGAAAACAAAGAGTCGCAAAAGCCTTTAGAAAACACAGCAAAGGTGTCAGGTGCACTACATCTCCTCAGACATATCTCCAAGAAAACCAACTTTGAAGATCTACTTCAAGTTTGAAGAGATCTTGCCCAAATCTTCCTTTCATATCTTAATTAAGAAAAACAGGGGGAGGGGAAACCCTTCATTAAAAGCTTACAGACTCATCATGGGGAAATGTTAAATGCATCTTACAAAACTGCTTACTCACTTCATATATGTGTAGTGTAGTAACTGCCACTGAACAAGTCTCCTAGGCTTTATTTTTCCCCTGAAAACAGTAGTCAGCCAAAGGAGTGGAAATTTCTTTACTGTAGTATATTGAAATCACGCTTGTGCTGTCTTCCAGAGAAGCTGCCCAAGGATGGCAGAGAAGCCAGAAACAGAAGGATCAGCTGCTTCCTATACACATCCCCCTTAAAAACAGCTTCCCCATCCTTCTGGGACCTGAAGATGGTCCACTACCCTCCTAATATGGTCCTTAGACACAAACTAGGGTAAATTTGAATTCAGGTATTCATATTTGTTGCATGTCAAACATTAGAGGCAATTTCTACTTTTATGGCTGGACTAAGTCTACATAATGATTAGCTTTCATGGTTTGCATCTCAATTAAGTCAAGGTTACCCTGACAATGTAGTATGATATTCCTTTGAGAGAAAAAAAGAAAACAAAACAAAGAAATAAAGAACAGAGACAGTTATGGGTAGGGAATGAAGTTGAGTTTTTACAGAAAGGCCTTATCTGAGATTTCAAAGTAAAAATTAGTAACTCAATGTCAACTGACAGATCAGAAGACCCCCATGCTAAAACAGAGACTACAATAAATGGAATGGTGAGATGGCTCAGTGAGAAATGTGCCCACCACCAAGCCTGTGAACAGAGCTCAATTTCCAGGATCTAGACGGTAGAAAAGATAACAGACTCCCCTATGCTGTCCTGCTATTCACAAGCATACCATGGCCTCCATGTGCGCGCACACACACACACACACACGAATACAAACACATGTGCATGAACACACACAAATTTTAAAAAGAAACCAAGTAAAATTAGAAACCAAATAAAATTGTACAGCACATCCCTACAGTTTGCCATAGGATTCATACAACACAGCCACTTGTGACACAACAAATCAAAGTACAGTGTCATACAAAGCAGAACCTGACTGGGGAGGGTAGCACTAATTTGACTGAAAAAGTACTTTTAGGTCATTTATATCTTTAATGATATAAACGGAGAATATTCCATATAGAAAGATGAAAGTTGTGAGTTCGAGACCACTCTGGTCGGCAAGAGCTAGTTCAGGAAAGCCTCCAAAGCCACAGAGAAACCCTGTCTCGAAAAAAAAAATAACATGCTTTTTACACTTCACTAGAAAATAATTTTTCAACATGTCTTTCTATATTAGAATGCATGCTATTTCTGTAAAAAATAGTAAAGAGATATATAGGCAAAAATCAATACCTTCTTTAAAGAGCTTGTATAATTCCTTATTAAACAGAAACTGGTGACTGCTTCCCTATTTATTTCTCCCAGTCATATGCATATAATCCAATTTAAGTCACCTGCCAAATTTCAGTCTTTATTCACAATGCTAACCTACCTCTTTCTGTAATTCCCTCTCTAGTGGTAATTAAAGATTGGTTGTTACATATTTAGATATGTCCTATCCTGGACAGGCTACAAAGATGTTATTCCACCATATCAAAAGCTATTGTGGGAGCTACATACTACATAAACAAAGAACTGCTCAACATGGGTCTTACACACACACACACACACACACACACACACACACACACACACACGGCATCAGACTCCGACCCTGAGCGAGGGCCAACTGAGGCCTGAAGCGAGAAGGTGAGAAGGGGGGATGATATGGGGGGATGGGGGATGGATGAGGCCACATTCTTTGAAGAGCACTGAGATGTGAGATTAGCACACAAAACCTTTCATTCTTGTGCTGCAACTAAGTGACAGGGAGCAAAAACCAGCAGCCACGCACACAACACTTGTGTCTGATGTTAACAAACTAAAACAAAGCAAGGACGGGTTGGCTGTACCAGACGGAAGAGTCCGTCTGCTGTGTCAGTACAGACACGCACAGGATGAAGGAGGGAAGGGAGGAAGGCCGTGGAGGAAAACTGGACACCTGAAGCTATCTCAGGCCCTGAACTGGGATCTACCAATCAGTTCTGTGTTTATAGAGAATACACACAACAGGACAGAACTCACAAGCTCCAATCCCATCATCATCAGGAAACACTTTCTAAAACACAAATCTAACGGTGCTTCTCTAATTACAACTTTCAGTAGCACTGGGCCCCCTGGTTAGCAGAGACCCCTCATGACCTTTCTAGCTTGACTTTGCCCCACTTGACCATGATACTCCAGAGCTAAAAGTCCCTTACACTTATCAGCATGCACTTTGGGGCTTTCTTCAACTCCTTGCTCTGACTCACTCCCCTCAAGTGCACAAGGGGAGACTTTTTAAAAGGCTTTTATGACCTGCCTTGCAATAGATTGCCTAACGCTACCTCACATCTTCTGAATCTTACCCAAAATCGTCGTGCAATGTTCCATTAAGGCATAATCCATGTAAATAACTGCATGCCCAGTAATGGCACATTCCATCTCATCATGCGCTTCTAATAGCCTTGCAGTAACAACCATGAAACAGTAGGGAGAATGACATGAAGTCGCAAGACCCCTGAGGTGACACAGAGAAGGAACAGCAGCTGAGAACCACAGCCCACAAAGCACCGTTCCCTGTCTTGTGAAGGCTCTCGCAGTATTGAACCATGTACTAGACTCCGAGACTGTTTCTTTACACAAATAAGAAGTGTCCACCATTTAATGCATTAGCACGTACCTTATGCAATGTTTAACATGGGTCCAAATTCCCGAAATTGCTAAATAAAGTTAGAGTTCAATCAAACAGCATACACTTGTTTGTATGTTGCTCTTCTTACTGTGCAAGAACAATTACTTCTGTATTCTCAATGCTCAGCATAGTGCTGATACACACTGGCCTCCTAACGAATCTTTGCTAACTAGGAGTGTTCAGAGAGGTAATCAGAGTGTGACCCCAGGGTGTGACTGGGGGAGTGAGGAGAGTGAGGAGTACCTAAGGAGAGATGTAAGCGGGCTTCAAACGTTGGTCAAACTAAGACACTGATATAGAGTGGGGGCGGGGGTAAGGAAAACAGAGTGAGATGACTTGCAGCTTACAAAAATACCTGATTCCTAATGAGAGGTCAACGGAGCAGAAGGCGGCCTGAACAACACTGACACTGAGGGACAGAACCAAATGAGAGACAGGCAAAGAGGACAAAAGCAGGGGGGAAAAGACAAGGTTAGCATATACGGAGGCCCCAGGGCAAAGTTAAGTGCACGAAACATAGAAAACTTGGGCTGAGCGGGGACCCTAGACTGAGTAATATCACTCTGTGGTGTGTTTTCTCAGGGTTCAAAGCTCTTGAACTATCGGGCAGGTGAAGCCATTCGCCTGGGTTACTTTCCCACTGATAATTTTTGAGATCAACTAAAATTATTCTGTAAAAATATTCCATACACGTTCGTGCATGTGGACGACACACAGAACACCACAGAGAGGTAGTAACCCTGACAACAGCACAGACCTGGGAGATGCTAGCATATTTGCTCTTGTGCAGTCTTTACGTCTACACTGCCAAGCTTGCCAACCACTGTTTGAACAAGAGTTGCTCCACGGAAGTAAATACCCTGCAAAGCATGGCTAGGGAGAAATGGAGTTTCTAATGAGGCAAAGACACAATTCATGATTTGCTTAAGCATTAACCTCAAAACTCTTGTTCCCACCTGTCCGGCACAGTCTCCAGCTGAGTGCAGACAAGTAAGCTGGTTCCTCAAGTCCAGCTCACTGCATCTGGTGCTGGGTTCTAATGCCAGACTGTCTGCACTCTCTGAGGACTTCCCAGTCTGACCTACAGATGTTAGGTTCTCCGTTTGTACCCAGTGTTAGAAGCAAAGTGGAAAAAAGTGAACAGTTCGGTTTAATCTTAAGTTAAGGTTATTGTAGGTGCTTGGCCATGCAAACAGTTTCAGTAACCCTGGACAATTAAAGTGGTGTCTCCTAACAACAGACCCCATTCGGGATGCCTAGCTCACTCTCATGGCTTTTTCCCCTACAAGTAAGTAATCCACCCCATTGCTTCAGTGTACCTAATAGTACTTGCCTATCTCTGAGTCTCCTCAACCTGAATGTCCTCATTCATATCTCCTGAAACCTGGGCTCCCCTTCCTGCTATCTTGTAGGGTGCTACTCTCTACCCAAGAAATCTCAAGCATTGCTCAATAAACCTCTCTACCATAACAGCTACACACAACACTTTTTTTCTCATTAGCATGATTATGATAATCATAATCAGGTCAGATAACAACAAATATTGCCACAAATACAAAGGGAGTCACAACATGTGTGCATAAATACACTAAAACCACTGAGTTGTACAGTGAAACAGAAATATTTCCATATTGAAAGAGCCTTTAGGTAAAAATTTATTTTTAAGCAAATTGTACTTAGAAAACTACTATTAAACACACATTTGGCTTTAGACTGTATAATTTTTATTTATTCACGTAGTCAATCATTTACATACTGGTTAGCATAGATACCCAAATTCCTACTTCCTTAATCTTCCTTAAAGATTTTAGTGTATCCTCTTACATACACTAAGGTTAACTATGCTGTTATTACAGTCACTTAAATGGCCTCAATACAGAACCACGATATTCTCTTTTTGATTGGATTTAAGACCTGCTCCATGAGATGGAACGCATACCTGATACTGTCAATGAACCCAAGAACCTGTGTCTAGATAGGTATGAGTCCTAGGGAAACCCACTATTATTCTGTGAAATGGATACAGCAATCAAATGACTCCTAATGACTTACTGCCACACCCATAGATTAGAGCACT